GGGGGGAAAAGGTGTTTGGGTTATTTAATATAATATACAAATGCTGTTAATGCCTCTGTTTTCAATTTCCAGTTCAACTTGTAAAGTTGTTTCTATGATTGTGCATAAATACATACTAATCCTTGGTCTAATTCATGTGTGGTGTTTTGTGTCCTATAAATTAGGAAGAGGAATGGGGGTGGGAGGAAATAAGACCCCACCAAGACCACCATGAACTAGATGTCAGAAGTGTTGCTGTGTCTTCCGTGTCAGTATTCCCAAGGAACTTGTTTTGCCTTTCTTACATCATCCCAAATGGAGGGGAAGAAGGTGCCAGACACACAGTTGCCCAAAGCGCTCTGCTAGCTGTAGGGCCACTTCTGCATCCAGCATGTGGGGTGGGAATTTGGGTTCACTGTGGGCAGACTTTTCCCCAGCAGTAGGGTATACCACTTAAAGGGAGTGGTGTACATATATTACACAATTGACTTAATTTTCTTATGGATCTCCTTTAGAAGGTAATGTGTATTACTTTGACTTCAAAATGTGGCAAAAGTGCGGGAAGTGACAGGCATATTACCTGTCCTAAGACCCGTCTTTAAAAATTGTATAGTGTTGCTTTATGACCACAGTATTTTCTACAGTATATTGATATATCTTGTTAGATGTGTAGATTTTGCTAGTCACTGGTAGCTCCCCCTTTTGATTATATGTTTACTTTGAGGAGAGAAGGGAGACACAGTTTCAGGGAGCAGCCATTGGAGTCATACAGGGCAGAGGGAGATATGGGGAGGGAGGAGACAATTAAAATATCAAGGAAGAGGGGAGCGCAAGAGAGTGCTTGTTGTTCCCAAACTTTCTCCTGGTACAAATAGCTTGGACAGCCTAGGTAACAGCCCCCTTGGGTTGAAGATACTGCTGCTGAATGCTAGATCAGTGAATGGTAAAACAGCTGCCATTCAGGACCTGATCCTAGAGGAACAAGCTGACCTGACCTGTATTACAAAGACCTGGTTGGATGAGACCGGGGGGGGGGGCACTCTCAGCTTTGCCCACCAGGATTCTCTGTGCAGCAGCAGGCAATAGCAACTTAGCAGCTTCATTTATATACTGCTTCATACCATGCTATGCAGTCAAACGGTTTACAACTGTATGCTAATTGCCCCCAAAAGCAGGCAAGACCTGAAGGTCAGAGAGGTGGAGTTGCAGTAGTCCATTATGATTTCATCCCCCTAACCAGATGCCTCTTTGCACAATCTACAGGTTTTGGGTGTGTTTGTTTAAAGGTGGGTAGCCGGGACAGAATAGGGATTCTGTTGGTGTACTGCCCACCCCACTGCTCAACAGTCTCCCTTCTTGAGCTAGCCAGGGTGGTCTCAGGGTTGGTGTTGGAGTCTCCTCGTCTGGTAGTGCTGGGGGACTTCAGTCTCCATGCTGAGACTGCCCTTTCAGGAGTAGCTCAGGACTTCATGGCCTCCATGACAACCATGGGTCTGTCCTAAGTGGTATCTAGCCCAGCTCATGCTGCTGGGCACACTCTGGACCTTGTTTTCTGTGCTGGATGGGGTGATGGTGGTCTTGGTGTGGAGGAACTCTCCACAGTTCCGTTGTCTTGGACAGATCATCATCTGGTTAGACTTGGACTCACTGGGACTCAGAACCTCTGCAGGGTTGGGGGACCGATTGGGATGGTCTGCCCCAGGAGACTGATGGATCCAGATGGATTCCTGAGGACTCTTGGGGAGTTTCCTGTCACTGCAGCAGGTGATTCTGTTGAAGCCTTGGCCGACCTTTGGAATGGGGAAATAGCCAGGGCAGTAAACACAATCGCTCCTGAGCATCCTCTCTTAGGGAGTGGAGCCAAACCAGTCCCCTGGTTCTCCAGGGAGTTGATGGTGATGAAGCAAGTGAGACGGAGACTAGAGAGACATTGGCAGAAGACTCAAATTGAATCTGACCAAACATGGGCTAGATCCTATTTGAAGGCCTACTCCGTGGCAGTGCAGGCAGCAAAGAAATAATTTTTTGCTGCCAGCTTTGATCTGCACGGAGCTGTCCAGCAGAGCTGTTCTGAGTGGTCAGGGGTTTCTTACATCCTCACCATCAAGTAGAAAATGCAAACCACTCAGAGGCCCTCTGTGAAGAATTTGCACGGCATTTTGCAGATAAAATCACTCAGATCCGCTTGGACTTGGATGCTACAGTTGATACATTGCCAGTAAATGTATCCTTGGTGCTACAAGATCTCTTTACATACTGATTTTACAGACTAAGGGGTGGAGCAGATGGGCGCAAAGGAGGGTCTCCTGCCTCTGGAAGTGGCTCAAAACCCCACTGTCTGCATGCCCACTCCCAAGCTGGGCTGCAGATGCAGAGACTGGCCAGTACTAGATTTTCCCAGCTCCTTTTTGCTTCATTTTGACGCAGCTTCTAGCTGCTTTGGAGTCATGTAAACAGCACACCTCCAAAGCTGTTTCCCTTGGCCCTGGAAGCTGCTTCCCTTGGCCCTCTATCTTTGAATTTTAACGCTAGAGCGAATAATGTCAGGGCCCTTTGCTGACAGTCATTCACCATCCTAACTGATGAACCAGAACAATGGTTGCCTCCAAGGCCAGCTTGGGCAGGGAGGGAAGAAGCAACAGCAGACTGAACTTTACTGCCATGAAAAACACCTTCTCTTACTTCCCAAAAGGAGGATTCCCTAGCAGTTCATTGGAAAGGTTGCCATCCCATCATGCCCCCACAACAGACACAGATTTGGCTATTCCAGAGACTGGAGGGGGCAGTTCAGGCCACACCTTACCTCCTGAAGCCACCATTTCATCCATGCTGGGCAGGATAGGAAGAATGGTGGGTGGTCAGACAGTTTTTAGCAATCAGGAACAGGCTCTTTGCATCAT